CGCGGAACGGAGCAGCCAAGTTTGGAGCTCCAGGGTGACGTCTGTTTAACATGGCCGCCTGCAGTTCACCCCTCTCTGCATGGAGACTTTAAAGAGTCGCTACAGAGATGTTTAAGGCTCCTAGGAAAGGCTCCACAAAGAAGGGAAGTCCATTTTAACGGCCAGAAGAGGAGTACTGCCACATAGGGGTGCGTGCTGAAGGCCAAGCTAGATTCGCACTAGACACCTCGGTGCTTTAAAAGCAGCTCCTGCTGACAGGACGAGGCAGATTCTGCTCTGCTACACTGGTGTAAATCCCAGGTACGCTGAAAGAGGGTATATGTTGGTTAATCTGGTATAGATCTAGGAGCAGAATTTGACCTACAGAATTTCCCTTGGATATTAGGTTCCTTGTGCAGTTTTCACTTTAGTCTCATACCGAACAGAGGAGTCTCACAGGAGATCTTTGCAAGGGGAGTCAGCACAGCCCATGCTGCCTGGCAGGGGAAAAGAAAATCACATGCATGTTTATAAGAGTCCCCTAGAGGCCTGCTGGGCTTCTTTTCACCCACGCTCTGGCTTGTAAAGCAGAAGCACTTCCATTCTCAACAGTAGGGGTGCCCGTACTAAAGAGTGCAGCGCACCCAAGTATACCTTCCATGCACACTGTGCATCCACAACAATGCCTGATTTACAAGGACCATGAACCCAGTTATTGAATATTTGTGTGTAAGAAGGCTCAGTGAGCATGATCTCTGCTTTAGTCCTCTTAAAGAACAATGAAGAGATTAGCAGCAGATGCTAATCATTTGCAGGGCTCTAACCAAACAGAAAAGATGCTTAATTTACATAAGCAAACTTCATTTTGCACAGCAAAATCCCCAGGACCTGGGATGCTCACCTAGCAGCATAGAACAGCTGGCATTTCCCCCCCACACAAGATGCTTTAGAATAGTCAAGCCCAAGTCTGGAGAATTCAAGTAGCAACACAAACAGCCCGTCTGCTCAGCAATGCAAGAAATTCCCTGAGACCAAGAAGGGAATCTGGAATTAAGTTGGGCACAGTGGACATTGCACCTTTCTCTTGAACCAGGCTATTAGTTTTGAAGTGCCTATAATCTAAACTGACTGTTGACAGCTGGCTTTAGGAAAGGCTACTCTTAACAGCTGCAACAGACTACCTGTTCCCCTACAGCATTAGCACTGCGTGGTTTAAACAGATCTCGGAACAATCCCCATCCAGCATAGAGAGTGGAGTCAGAATGCAAATGCTTAGTGCCATCTGCTATTTTAGATGATGCATGATGTGGTTTGCAGAAGGCACAAACTTCCATGTGCTCACAGGACTGCACTACCCTTACCACAAAACCCTCACAAAATGAGAGGTCTTCTCTCACGAAGCTAGCCCAGGAGCAAAGAGTTAAACAGCATGGGTTTGGGAAGGGAGCATGCAAGCCGCAGTGTTTTGAGACGTTTGCCAGACCACAGAGCAAGACAATAGACGTGGTCTTACTGGAAGAAGAAATCTCAGCTCCCTAGTGGGTGGTTTACTAATGGATTGTGTGGCTCAAGGTGCTGGAGTATACAAATCCCAGAGACAGAACCTAGATTCACTATTAGATTTCACGTTTGTTTACTGGACTGGCTCTCCCGATCTCACTCCACCCTGCTCCCTCTACCCATTACAAGCTGATTCCATTTCAAACAGATTCTTGGGGGGGGGGAGAAGAAAGAATAAATAAATAACCCCACAATGCTTCCCCCAGCCACTGGGAGTGGAACTACACCAGGATTAACAGAGCGTGAAAGACAGACTGCTTCAGTGTCTGAACTCAAATTTCTCTACCGAGATCAGTTGAGGTTTTAGCCCAGTGACTGATACGGGAAGCAAAGCCAGCAGCAATTAGAGATCGATCTAGTGATAAAAGGGAAAGCCAGGTCTTCAGTAGGATGCAGAGGTAAAGCAGGAGAAGAAGCCAAGTTGGGGGGGGGGGGGAAATGTACTTTTTCCTCCTTTCATATGTTTAGCTTTAAACTTCAATTCAGAATATTGAGAGAATGGATCCTCCCATTGAAGGACAAAAAAAAAAAGGCAAACTTTCCCATGAAAATATTCTATTTTCTTTGAGAACAGGATACACCTGCAAGTCTCCAGTCAATTCCCCTCCACTCCACAGGCTTCATTAATGGGTTGACGGAACCCTCTGCTGGTGCAACTGTGAAACTGCATGCAAAGCCTCTTCAAACTTGGGGAAGGGGTAACAGGTGACAAGAGCAGGGAAGTCGCGGGTGGACCCATGCTAGCTGCACACCAAATCCACACTGCAAGAGGACCAAGACCCTTGGTCCAAGAGGCGCCAGGTAGCCAAGGAAAAGGTGTATTCCGGGAGAGCAGTGAAGAAAGCACACTCCAGAAAAGCCATGTGTTTGCTGTTACAAGGGAATCTGCACAACAGGAACCAGTCTTGTGCTTTGTAAGCATTAAGCAAACTAAGCTGCATGCAAGAAGAGTGAAAGCTGTAAACATCAAACCAAAACCCCAGGCTTCCGGTCTCACTTTTCTTTACCTGCAGACTAGAAGGGGTCTTGATAGCACTGGAAAACTTACTGATCTTTAGTATATACCAAAGAGAGAAGAGTTGTCAAGACATTTCTTTTAAGAGAGAAAACTAAGAAACTAGAGCCAGAATAGTTGAACCAGACAAATCTGGTGTGTTTAAACCAGAAAACTATACCAATTCAGAAACTACATTCAAAGCCCACATGCACACTTTGAGACTGGAGAGTCTTGAGATGGGGGGGGGAGAAGAGGGAGAGAATACTTGTTCTTGCTGTTTGATTTCCTGTCCAAAAAGAGCAATGATCTGACACTTTCAATAGAACAGCGAGCAGGGGGAGGGGGGGGGAAATCGAGGATTTGAGTTATTTGTCTATAAAACAGTTTGTAAACATCTGGATTTTGCAACTGTTTTATGGTTATTAACTTGGTGGGGAGAGCTATGGTTTGGGGGGGGAGGACAGAGGAGAATTTATCCCTTAAGGAGGCTTCCCATGATGTACTGCAAGTTTAGACAACTGAACAACAAAACCACACCTAGAGTGTGCAAATCCCTTTTCCCATCCTCTAGATTCCAAAGCAAATCACTCCCTCAACACAGACAGACATTCAGTTTTCCCCGCTACTGCCAGGTTTTTCAAGTCACGTTTTGTTTATGAAACTAAGGAGTAGCCTGATTTCAAAGAATCATGGCCCCTAAACAGAATAGCTGGATCCCCAGGACAGACCCACAAACGTGCCGTTTGCCATTGTATAATGTGCCCTTAAGTTGCACTGTATGCAGAAAGAGAGGGAAGGGGGTGGGGGGAGGGTGGACCACAAACATAAGAAAAATATCTGCTTGGAGACTACACTGTTCCCCCACCACTAAACATTACAGGAAAGACAAAATAAGACTCCAGAATCAGCACAATTTTGTTTTTAAATAAACCCCAGTTAAAATGATCTCAGTCAGTCTGCCCAGGCTACAGGGAGAGATTCAAAGCAGACGCCAAATACAAGAGTTATGAATACAGCGCTGCTATTACTATAAGAAATAGGGAAGGGGGGGGGGGGAGAAATCCCACTTAAAACACAAACAAACAGCTCCCAAGCAACAACCTGCAGCTTCTAGACTCCCAGTGATTAATGACAAGGTGGAATTCAAGGAAAGAAGCAACGTCCCGCGCCCGCTTTCCAGGGGCTTGACAACAAGCAAGGTTACTGGAGCTGAGGGACTCGACCAGAAACAGAGTTGCCAACACTACACTGCTGGGGGGAAACGGGGAGGAGAGGCTGGGTCCCTTCCACGCACCCCTCTTTCTCTCTCTGCTGTTCTGTGCGGACTGATCCCACTCCGCCGGCTCCCAGGGCTGGCCCCCTGCCCACACCCGCCAGCTGATGTCAGTTCCAAGAACTCGCCGAGTGGGTCAACCACAGTAAAGTGTTAGGAGAACTGGCTCCCAAGGGCCCTAGCATCTCGCCTCGAGGGGAAGGCGGGGGGTGCCCAGATGTGGGCTAGATCACTGGCCTCGACCCACCCCAGGCAGTCAGGAAGTGGGGGGCACTGACACAGTCCTGGCACCAGGCCAGAGAAGGAGCATCCTCGCTCTCGAGGGGCAGAGATGGGGGCTCCCCCCGTATGATCAGCACAAGCCAAGCACTTTGCAGACAGCCCCAGCACGCCCAGGGCAGCGCGCCCCAGCCTGGTACAGGGGGCAGAGACAGAGGGTGCGGGGGACTTGACCATGGAGGGAGGTGGCCCGGCTGACCAGCCCGAAGGAGAAGACGGGAGGGTCCCGGGGCGCCGCTGAGCGGGGGGGGGGGTCGCAAGGTGCAGCGAGGGGCGTTCACAGCGCACACGGGCTAGGTGCGAGACGCGCAGGGCTGCGAGCGCCAGGGGCACCGAGAGGGACAGCTGAGTGCAACCTAGGGGGAAGGTGGAGGACTGCTGGGCTCCCTGAGGTGAAGGTGCAGAGGGAGATGCTTTGGGAGCAGACTGCGGAGGGAGAAGTGGGGGTGCAGGGGAAGTTGCCTTGGGGTGCCGAATGAAGCTGCCTTGGGAAAGTGGGGGGTGCAGGGCGCGGGGAAAGCTACATGGGGGTGCAGGGGAGCTGCCTTGGGGGAAGCGGGGTGCAGGGCGCACTGAGGTGGGGGTGCAGGGGAGCTGCCTTGGGGTAAGAGGGGTGCAGGGCGCAGGGTAGTGGGGGAAGCTACATAGGGGTGCAGGGGGAACTGCCTTGGGAGAAGTGGGAGGTACAGGGCGCACTGAGGTGGGGTGCCGGATGAAGCTGCCTTGGAGGAAGCTACATGGGGGTGCAGGGCGCACTGCCTTGGGGGAAGGGGGTGCAGGGCGCGGGGAAGTGGGGCAAGCTACATGGGGGTGCAGGGCGCACTGCCTTGGGGGAAGGGGGTGCAGGGCGCACTGAGGTGGGGTGCCGGATGAAGCTGCCTTGGGGCAAGTGGGGACGCCCGGCGGACCTACCCGAAGTAGGCGGCGGAGGGTCCCGGGGCGCCGCCCAGCAGCACTAGGAGCGCGCAGGAGGAGAGCCATCCCAGAAGGAGGTGTCCATCCAGCATTTTGCTGCAGCGCTAGGGCTGATCATCTCGTTTCCCCGCAGAGCCCGATGAGGCTCCGGCTGCCCGAGCCGCCTTCTTATAGCCTGGGAGGCAGCGAGTGCCCAGCCGGGAGCGGGGCGGGGCCGCGCGGGCCGGCCCCGCCGGGAGGCGGGGCCCCTCCCACAGGCCACGCCCACACGCCGTGAGGGCTCTGCGGGGAGGGGCGGGGACGACCGGGGAGGGGCGTGGTTGGGAGCTCAGGCTCCGCCCCCAGCGGAGGCCGGCACATGCGACTGTGAGGGGCGGGCTGGGAGCAGCTGCGACAGGCAGGCTGGGACTCACAGGGAAAGAGGCAGGCAGATATAGCGGGCTGGGTGGGACGGGAGTGATCGAGGCACGGAGTGCGTGTGTGTGTGTAAGAGAAAGCCTGTGCATGAGTGTGAGAATCAGCTGTGTGAGCGTGATTGTGCACACGAGCGTGAGACTGAAGCTCATGGCTGCGATTGTGTGCATGAGCGTGAGAATCAGCTGCATGAGTGTGACTGTGCGCATGAGTGTGCGCGTGTGCATGTACGCTTGATTGTGACTGCAGGAGTGAGCAAGACGTGAAAGTGTGACTGGGCTGGAATGCTTGCATGATTGTGAGCATGAGCATGTGGGACTTGTGCAAGAGCTTCACTGTGCTTGTGTGTCTGTCGTGCCTGAATGAATGGGGTATGTGAGTTTGTGGACATGCGAGTGTACAGAGTGTGCGTGAAGGTGAGTATGAAGTGTGTGAATAAGTGAGAGTCAGAGGAAACGTGCATATGTGAATAAACATGAATGACCAGGAGTGTATAGTGGATGAGTGTGAATGAGAGGCAAAGAATGAACACATGTATGTGAATGAGTGTTTTGGTGTAGTAAGAAGTATAAGGTCCAGGGACATGGGGGTTATACTTCAGTGGATTTATTTTTCAGTGTGTAAAATGCACCTCTTGCAACCTCCAGGTGCATATGATATAAAAACTATCAAAATAAAATAATCATAAAATTGTCAACATGTCAATTAAAAAGAAATTCCTTGAGCCCTAAATAGAAAAGTCTTTCTGGCATTCCCAACTTTTTTGGGCAACTAGACCCATTTAACCAGACTAAAATCTTGATCCTATATAAATTCATAGAGTCCAAAGCCAGAAGGGACCATTGTGATCATCTAGTCTAATCTCCTGTATGACACACGCCAGAGAACCTCCCCAAAACAATTCCTAGAGCAGATCATTTAGAAAAACATCCAAGCTTGATTTAAAAATGGCCAGTGATGGGGAATCTACCACAACCCTAGGTCAATTGTGCCAATGGTTCATTACTTTCACTGTTAAAAATGTACACCTTATTTCCAGTCTGAATTTGTCTATCTTCAGCTTCCGGCTACTGGATCATGTTATATCTTTCTCTGCTAGATTGAAGAGCCCATTATTAAATATTTGTTCCCCTTGTAGATACCAATGGACTATAATCAAGTCATCTCTTAATCTTCTCTTTGTTATGCTAACTAGATTGAGCTCTTGGAGTCTATCACTATAAAGCATGTTTTCTAATCCTTTAATCATTCTGCAGGTCTTCTCTGAACCCTCTCCAATTTAGCAACCTCCTTCTTGTATTGTGAGCACCAGCACCGGACACGATATTCCAGCAGCCGTCACTCCATTGTCAAATACGGAGGTAAAGTAACCTCTCTACTCCTACTCAAGATTCTCCTGTATATGCATCCCAGGATGGCATTAGCTCTTTTGGCCACAGAGTTACACTGGGAACTCATGTTCCACTGGTTATCCACCATGACCCCCAGATCTTTTTCAGAGCCACTGCTTCCCAGGAGAGAGTCCCCCAACCCTGTAAGTATGACCTTCATTCTTTGTGCCTAGAAGTATGCATTTACATTTAGCTGGTTTAAAACGCATGTTGTTTGCTTTCGCCCAGTTTATATCAAGTGATACAGGTCAGACCTAGCCTCTTCGTTATTTACCGCTTCCCCAATCTTTGTGTCATCTGAAAACTTTACCACTGATGAATTTATGTTTATGAGTGTATATGAGAGACCATGCACACAAGGATGTGTATATGTCCACAAACTGCTATATAGTAAAGGAGCGGGAAACTTTCTAGGAAATTGTATAGCTCTTCATTAAATACTTGCTGTGCCAGCTAATGCCCACCTCATATCCAGTAATGCTGAGCAGTTTAACCAGCCCCTTCACTTCGAGACTGCGGTTTGCAGTATTGTTAACCTGAAAAACAGAAGACAGACAAAACTTCCGAACCCTGAGATGTATCTGTCCTGAGATTTCTGAATTGGAACTCGGTTGAGAAAAGTTTTGCTTCTTCTCCCATGCCCTGGGAGCATGTATGATGCAGGTGGTGGATTCACACCTGAGTGAGGGGCTCCCCGTACAGCTACTGGCAAGGGGATTCCACTCTGGCCCTTTTCCGCGCCTCTCATGCCTCAGCCACTCTCCCTGGGCAAATCCGGACCCCCAAGCCTGCACTGTTGACCCTTGACCTTAGTTCTGCTCTGGAGTGCCCCTCGGGGGTGTTACCATGAAGACAGGTGCTTTGAGGAGGGAGCTGGCTGAGTGTAAGCCTAGAGGGAAGCATTTCCATACAAACCACACATACTAACGGCCAGCCAAATCCTGCCTCCACAGGGAGTCAAGAAGAGGGCTCTTAAGGAGCAAGCGGCATCGGCATAGCATTGACCACAGCAACCAAGCCTTGCCTCCATTTACAGCTTTTTGTAGGGCTCACATGATGGCCGCCATTTTGGACAACACACCAAGGATTGAACCAGGGAACCTCCAGAGCTGAAAACACACATCTCTATAGCTTGAGCTAAAGGGGGGAGGGTACATTTCCAAGCTCCACCCACAAAATAAGCTCCACCCACATGATACCACCTCCAGTAGATGATGCAGGTGTTCAGGCTATGATTATGCATGCTCTTGTAGGGATTTTCAGATTATAATCCTCAATTCTCCTTCTTTACATGCTTGGATGAGCAGTGAAATAGTTAATCTCTTAAGGATCAGCATTGTTAGCATCACATATCTGAGTTGGAACTCACTGAGATGAAGGGTGCAGGTCTCGCTTCTCAGTTATTGTTTCAGGTTCTTCGAACACAGGCAGACGTCGCTGTGTCAGTTACACTCAGCTCGTGTTGTCAAGGCTCTTTCAGCAGCTAGATACTTTTTAGTAAAATGAAAGGTTAAATACTGGAGAATGAAAAGGCAATATGAAAAAGGTACCAGTCTGCCATATCAGCTGCATATGACCCATATCGTCTGCGGATCAGACACAGATGAGGATATGTAATATACTGGCCAAGATTACATACCTCCTCTGGACGAAGGAAGCTTGTCCCCAACAGTTCAAACCCCAGACAAATCCCCAAGTGACAGCTGCCATCTTAACTGATACACCAGGGATTGACCCACACAGACCTCCAGAGGTGAAGGCATGAGTGTCTACACAACTTGAGTAAAAGACCCAAGCTGTCAATCTAAGAGCTGAAACAGACCTATATCTTCTGGGGATTGAGCACAGAGCAGGACACTAACACTCTGACTCTGACTGTCATACATGACAAAACATCCAAAATCACAAAGCTTGCATCTAATTCATGAGTTCTGGGATGGCTGTGTTTGTGCAACCTCCATGCCCCTGGATACTTTATGGACAGGCTAGGTCAGAACCTCATCCACTCAGAGGTAGATAAGTGGGGAAAGTCTTCAGGGGCACTTCAATCCCAGGCCAGTCCCTTTGGCAGATTCAGAAGCTAGACGGGCTCACTCTCCCTTCCTATTGATTATGCACCCATTTGTCATTTCAACCTGGGAATCTACACACACACACACACCTTCCAGGTTTTGAGCTTTTCCTAACACCAGCCCAGCTTTGCAGATCTCAGCTGGTGTTCCAGTGACTTTCAGAGAAGATCAAGTTCAGATTGCATTTCACCTAGCTGGAGACACCACAGAGAGCAAAAAAAATATTTCCGAGGTGTCATGGAACCTTCCATGGCCCAGTGTTCCATCTCCCCTGGTTAACTAAATAAACTCAAGACAGTTGCCACCCAGCTGAGCTCTAGCCCACTCTACATGGACAAGTTCAGGGCAGCCTCAGTTCCCCAGCCAATTGCAATGTGCAGAACTGAATGGAGAAGCAGGCAGTAGTTTCACCCCAGGCCCCAGCAGGGAGTTGTTTCTTGAGGAAAGCCAGTGCTAGTGGCACCTATAGAATAGAATATCAGGGTTGGAAGGGACCTTAGGAGGTCATCTAGTGCAACCCCCTGCTCAAAGCAGGACCAATCCCCAGACCCCTAAATGGCCCCTTCAAGGATTGAACTAACAACCCTAGGTTTAGGAGGCTAATACTCAAATCACTATACTGCATGAGCCTTTGCTTCCACAGGGCTGCTGACCTCTCACCATTTAAATGAGAGAGTTCGGCACAAAATAGCCGACATTTAAAAAAACTATGAGCGGGGTCGCAAATGCGTCTTTGGGGGGGTTGGCACGAATCCTTCAACCGATGGACAAGACGCTTTAAAAACCATCCTCCATCTTCATCCCCAATAGGAGCAAGAATAAGGCAACAGGCTTGTGTGTTTGCAAGAGATTCCAATCGTGGAAAGGAACGATAATCTACACGGCCAGTCAGTGCAAATAGCAAGAGTGCTTGGAAAGGTGGAGTGGCCATAACGTCTCGCTGTTTCCCCGCTCTTGACGCTGAGTAAGGAAATGAAGCTGATTCACTTTGAAGTCCAGACTGCATGTGATTCTTTAATGAATGAGACAACACAGGGCATTTTCAGGAGTTGCAAAACAGGGGCTGACAAGAAGATTCCTTCTTTCGGGAGGCAGGTGAAAAGCACATGCAAGGTGTCTACAACTTTGCCCAAACTAACGTCTTTCCTGACTGAATACTCTGCTGAATGCTTAGGTGGTGGATTCGCATTGTTCTCACGATCACTTGCTGATCGAAGCCATCTACTGGATCCCTTTCCCTTATTAAAAAGGAAGTATATAATGATTTCAATATAGCACATAACAGTGTCACAACATTATATTT